ATGTGTCCTGACCCAGAATTGAAGCTCCAACCTTTTGGTGTATGGGAAGAGGCTCCAACCCACTGAACCACCTGGCCAGGGCACTTTGAAAACTTTGTTTCAAAGTTTTAAAACTTTGAAAAACTTGTTAAATCAATCTTCATACAAACTCTAAAGGGATTTTCTTTTTTTTTTTTCATGCTAAGAATCAATATCAGGCTACAAAATATGGAGTTAAGAAAGAGTTTAACAAGCTCTCTTCCCCCTCAGCAATTAAAGGACAAATGGAAAAAGGGTTCTGAAGTGAAATGAATAAAAGTGAAAATGAAAGTTTAGGAAAAGTTTTCTGATGATGAATATGATATTAATTCAGGTATTAAAACTGGAAGAGAGGGAATTAAAATGTTTCTGCACAGAAATTTGTACAACCAAATTTCAGCTGCATAATTTCTCCCTCTCTGCCAACAAAACAAATAGCACAAGTTATTTTTTCCATAAAATGTGGGATGTATAGACATTTGTAGTACAGATCAACAGTCATTTTTAGTATAGTATACAGACTATTGAATAAGACACAAAGATAAAAGTGACACAAAAAATTTTCTCTTTAGTAGGTTCTCCATACTAAAGGGAGAAAAAGATTGCTCCAATAGCTGAAAATTGTTTTAAACATTTGAGTTGATGAATAATTTAGTATTCATCATTTAGATGAAGCAAAAGAGCAAAATAATATGGTGGAAATGCAACTGATGAAAGCAATACTTATTTTCAGACCATTCAACTGATGGGACTCTTCTTCCCATCTATTCAAGAGTCTATGAACATCTATGTCCCATTAGATGGGATGTAATGCAAGGCAAAATCCATAAATACACAATCAGTGATGTAATTAAATGTTGAAAGAAACCTCAAAAATTATATCCAAGCATCACATTGGGAAAAATATTGGTCCCTCAAAGACTCAAACAATTACAAATAATAATAGTGTATTTTCCCAGAGAGGTTTTCAAAGACTGTAAATGCTATCATAAATCAGGAAGGGAATATGTTTTTTCCTAGAACCTCAGGGATAAGGAAACAAAGAGAGAGACACCATAAAGCACCAAATAGAACTTATAAGAAAATAAACTAACATTGGGAGAGCAATGGTTCACTGAGAGATACAGGGCGGGCCAATTACATTGGAAAAATAATTAGTTTCATTATATATTGTGGTCAATATGGCAGTGGGTTGGGGAGTCGAAGGGGGAAAGCAGAATTAGAGAAGAGGAAAAAAGGAAAGCCACAAAGTTGAAAGATACAGCCCAGCAAAAAATGGAAGAGAATGGGACAATAGATAGGGAGAGGAGGATAAATAAGTCCTAATATTGATAATAAACTACTGCAGTCACTTTTCTTACTTACTATGGGCTGTGGGCTTCAATTACAGGGTGGGCAAAAGTAGATTTACAGTTGGTCATATGGAAAAATATATACTACAGGACTAAATAATAATACAAGTATAAACTCTGTTATTCGAACTCACAACTATAAACCTACTTTTGCCCACTCCTATATTGTTGCTTAAAAATTCATACATTACAATGCTAAATAACTGATTAATCGCTCCTCCTAAATCTGTCAAATCTTTTTCTGAAAGTGTGGTGTATAAGCACCTATATCACAAGCATCTTACTAACAATGCAGATTGAAAAATCAAATGTTAGGTCTAATGAATCAGAATTTCCTGGGTTGAAGCCAGTTGATTTTTACACCAAAGGTTGGGAATTATTGCTTTAAAATGTATACTACCAGGTAGGTGTTATTTTTTTTCTTTGAATGGTTACAATGAAGAGACACCAGACAAGAGATTAAGCTGAGGGCCACATACCTTTTAAAGATTTGCCACTCCTAACAATATAGCAGGACCTGCCCAACTGAGTAGTCAAGGGTTTAATGTAACAAATAATAGTCGACTCATATATACTTTGTAGTTTGTCAAAGGTTGAAAAAGAGAAATAGAAGAAAACATCTCTAATCTCAAGAGCTTAATGTTCTTTTCCTTGTTGATGAGGACAATCTTCTTAACGTAGGCAAATGCACATTCGTCTATACTCGTATTTCCTAAAGATCCATAAACTTTCCTGTTTTAAGTCTCAGTCACAATTCACCTCTAGGCAGTCTGAACCTGAATTTAACTTCTTAGTGGTTTGGTTCCATTCTTTACTTACTTCACCTATGTTATCAAGCTGTTTTTCCCAGTAAAAATCTAAGTTTGTGAGGATAGAACCCAATGTTTTCTATTTTCTAGCTTTTTGTTCCCCGTTTGTTGCTTAGAACAATGATAACCACGTTGTAGAAAATCTGATACTGAACTGGAATAGGAGTCTCAGAATTTAGGCAATTCGACAGTCATATGCAAAGTAATTTTTTAAAAATCCAAATTTCAGACCCAAAGAAAGGAAGATCTAAAACAAATTAATAAAGATTTTGTTTCAATCACCCCAATAAAACAAATCACCCCAATAAAACAAAAAAAAATTAATAAACAAAGATTTTGTATTTCTCAGAAGATTCTAAAAGTGCCCAGTAGGTAAACTCTCAAAGAAAGAGAAAAGATATGACAGAATGAGATTACTAGTTATGGGGAAGTTAAATTCAAGCTATTATGTTATAGCTTAGAAACATCCATATTTTGTATACTCACATCCAAAGTTTTATACATACCCCACCACATACACACTGTAATACAACAAGGCATCATATTAAACAGTATTTGCCCCCCTAAAAGAATGAGGTAAAATTAAAGCAGAAATAAACCTGTCTTTTTATTTACACACTTAAAGTAAATTCCCAATTTCTTATATTTTCACCTTTGCTAGGCCCATCATAAACAACCAATGTCAAAAATGATGCTTCAACTATGAAAAACTTCTAATGGTAAAAAACTGTTGTAGAAATTTTTAAAAATGTATCATCTCTCTGAGGAAAAAGAAAACTAAATTGAACACATTTTTAAAATCCTTGGTTAATTCATTTGGTTGTATCTTATCACCAAAATTATCAGCAAGCAATTTAACTAAGGTTTTATTTACTCTTAAGTAAATACAGATCATTTCAAACAAAGCATCACTTGTTGGAGTGGACTAGCATGAGTAGCTCCAGGCTGGAAGCCCTGCCATTCAGCAAGGCACAACCTTGAGCAAGTCACAGGACCTTTGGGGGCTGTTCCTTCATTTATAAAAGTGAAGCAGTTGAACGATCTTCAGTCTTTTTTAGTGCTAAAGTTGTGTAAATTGGTAATTCTAAGTTTAAGTCTGATGACTCAGTTTAAACTTAAATCCAACCTTATCAAAGGAGAAGAGTGGGAAGGTGACTACCTAGTAAGTCTTAAAGGCCTTTCCTTTCTTCTGTGCTTTCTTTTCCCTCCCTTCTCCTTGAAGCCCCACCTCAGTCTTCTCCACATAAAAAGAAACTGAAACATATGAACACTGTTTTATTTAAACTCTACTAGTATCTTGATTTTAAGAAACTAAATTCTTCTACTCTCTTTAATAAATAAAATCTTAATTATTTGCTTATTTGTGTGCCCCTTGATTTTTCTCATATGGGTCCCTTGCTTTTAAAAACTCAAAAAAAAGTTTTTAAGGCACAAAAGTTTCATTAGATTTTTCATGCAGATCAGATTAGAAGTAAATATAGCCTTTGATTACTCAAAGGCTGAACAAATTGGCAATACTGAAACAAAGATGATAGCTAATGGCTAAGAGTAAAATGTCTGCTGTGCATATCTTATAAGACCACAAAATTGATCTGTTAATATCAACAATCCTTTCAAAATATTAAAGAAATAATAATTGACTGGCTTTCTATCTTCCCTTTCATCTGGCAGGCCTTCAAGCACTTAGAAAGTGAGTAACAGCAAATTCCTGAAGAGCTGGCTAAATATTATCATAGTCAATAATAAATGACTTGGGAAGTTTTATTTATAAAAACTTTATTCATAATCACTACATATTCTAGTTTTACTTTCAAATTTTGGTTCCATAAATAATTTTCATAACTAAAATACTACTATATCCAGCTTCTCAGAGTACCTAGAACTTCAAGGCACACCAGAATGTACAATTGCCAAAGTCTCATAATTTCAATGATAAATATTTCAGGAAAAGACTGGACAATGTTTTCTATTATAAAAGGTATTACTTGTTAAAATACAAAACAAGCACATGTTAAAATACAAAACAAGCACATATTAAGAACAGAAAAAAAAAGGCCAATACTCTTTACCTTTTTTTATTTTACACAAAATGAAATACTGTGTTTTCTTAGAATCTAGTTATGCTTCTAAGGCTGTTACTCAGAACAAGTTTTCAGTGTGAATTATAGAACTTTATTATTTTTTTCTAAAAGTAAATGAATCATTCTAGTCTTTCTTCCTCTTTATGTCACTTTTACTTGTTATCTAAATAAGCTTTCATTTTACTTAAACTTCCATTTCAAAATTCAATGTTCAGTATCATTTCATTAACGTAAGAGAAAGAAAAAAAGGATAGAACAGTCAAGGAGCAACACCTATAACTGAGTTGTCCCAAAACATCCCCTAAACTAAAATGCCAAAACAAAACCATTGTTTCTGAATTTTTTTCTTAACATGAATATCACACATGAATAGTACAGTTTATTTAACTGTAACTTCTGGCTACCCTGAAAATACAATTACATTTTTTTTATTAAAATTTGACTCAGTTTGCCTTGCAATATAAAAAAGAAAGAAAAATTTCCTTTATTCCCAAGTCACACAGGAAAAAAAAACATTACACAAAACATAAAAAATGCTTTACCAAGAAGATCTAAAACTTTCCAGTATTTGAATGCTTTGTTTTCCCTAGTAGTTAAAAAGTACAATCAGGCATGTGACTGACTACATTTTCTCAGACTTAGAGAACACATTCAGCCATGTTCTTCGACAGGTAAGAACCACCCTCCATTCACCAGCTCAGGAAACAGCCAGAAGCAAACACCCAAAATCATAACATTACCTTCAAATATTCTCATTATCTTTAAATATTGTCCTTTGGGCTTGAAAATAAAAAAGCAATCCGGCAAGTTTTATGCTGTTAAAATGGCTCCTGTAGATTGGGGAAGTGGTGTCTGTGCTTCAGCTTATGAGTCATACATGAAACTAAGTGTTTCTAAGGGAGGCACGCCCATGTTGCTGTGGACCCAATTATTCTGCTAGGTCAAACATGCAAATCTACAGGTAAAAACCGGGAGAGGTATAGAAAAAGGAGCAAGGTAGAGCCTAGGAGCAAGATTTACCTTGATTAAACCATTACTCAGCTCATATTAATTACCATATTAAAATTAATAATAAAATACAATCAGAATCTACAAGAAGGCAAAATTAAAAACTGTATGTTGTATTTTTTAAATCTTAATTTTTAAAAGTAATTTTAATGTATCAAGTAAATAAAACAAAGGAAAAAAGCATGGGAGAGAATGGAAGGAAGATAGCAAACTTTCTAGCTTTTAATGTAAGTAACAATGAACTGGTGAATTTAACCTGGCTACTCATTAACCTTTATATGAAAGGGGTATATTACTGTGTACTCTGGAACAGCTAGCAAACTGCAATATCAGATGCAGATTTATAAGTACATTAAATAGATATCCACTAGAAAATTCAAAGTTCAGTGGAAAAATAAGTGAGAATTAATCTGGTTTATACTAAAAGATAATACCAAACTTGGGGTTAGAAAGGAACTAAAGTTTAATGTAACAAAATTATTTTAAATAGAACTGCAAGCTTGTTAAAACCCTATTTTAAAATAATTATAAATGCAATCATGGTTCATAGCTCTACTACTTCCAAGACATGGCCACAATTTTCTATACCTTACAAACATAAATGAAAGCATACTATGTGTTGGACTTGTACCATACACATCTAGCCTAAGGGTGCCAACAAAAGGTGTGGCCAGTGAAGTTTTGCTCTCTAAGCCACCATATATCTGATAAGGTACCCATGCAACTGAAACATTACTACATTACTTACCCTACCCCCATGTGTGAATATTTATTAGTTTATCCTAAGAGCTTAAAGTGATCAAAATAGCTTGAAAACTAATGCCTTCCAAAAGCACTTTAAATGATGAAGTGCAAGTCACTAGCTAGCCTTCATCCTAATATTTTATAAAAAGTAAGTGGCTAGATGTTCTCCCTTTAGTTAATTACTTGGAAGTAATTATTCTGCCTTACAAGACGCACAGCTGGGAGGACAAGCTGTCACTGACTTAGGAACTGTACAAACTGATACAAAATGTAATGACAATGAACCAACTTGCTGCCTATTAAGTACCTATTTATTCCATTCCACTGGACATTGCTTGATTTGTTTATCTTGTTATTAAAATAATTCCCGCAGTTAAATAAATTATTAATAAAAATTATGCTAAAAAGGAAAACATATCACTTTTCTATTGCCAAGTGCCATATTTTGTTTAATTTAGCTCATTTATCCAGAATGACTATTCAATACCCAAACTCAAAGAAAAGGTCTTCTGAGCAGTCACAGGAAATGCTTCCTGGAAAACCCAAGTCGTTTCCCAGAGCTGAAACTTATTTTAGACAATATCCATATAAGCCTAGTAATTTGATTATCTTTTAGCTAATTAAAAATTACAAAAAGTGAGAGAGAATAGGGAATGTGTGATGTCAAAAGAAACAAGTGACGAAGCTGATAATGAGAGGAAAAAATTAAAAACTACAAAACTACTGTATAAATACATATAATGTAAAAAGTACTGGGATCTGAAGCTACCCTATAAGGTCAACACATTCTACATTCTCCAAAAGCATATCACCATACAGATGAGTGCCTCAAAGTCAGCATTATCATGATAAAGGTTTTTAAAAAACAAAATGAATGACTTAAAGTATGTGAAATTTTTTATGAATCATGGGTACATAAAAGGATAAGCTTCTGCTACTGAGAAAATCCATTTATATAAAACTGATTACTTGATAATGACAGGTATTTGGACTGTAATTTAAAAGAAGTGTTTTTGGCCACACACATATAGAAGGCAAGTAAGAGACACAAAATGCAAATAATTACCCCTCTTCAATAGCAACAAGTTATCTTAGCTATTGCTAAAGAGATGATTCCAGAGTTGCTATTATAATACATTGCCTCTTTGACCAGGGGCACACCATATTAGTACCATTTTACCACCCACAGGAACTGAATCCTGGTTGTACTTACAGTTCCAAGAAATCAATCCACACAGGGGAAAGAAAAAAAAAAGGCAAAACAGCACAGGTTCTAGAACCAATCTCCTTGAGTTCAAATCCCAGCTCTCCCACCTATTAGTTGTATAACCCTGGTGATTACATAATAATCCTGTGCCTTAACTTCTTTATCTGTAATTTAGGCTAACAGTACCCAAAGGATTATTGGGAGAATTAAAATCAGTCCATTTTCTATAAAAAACTTAAACTCAAAAATAAGAAAACAAATCAATTTTTTAAAACAGTTAAACCACTGAACAGAAGAGATACAGACAGGGAATAAGCACAGAAAAGATCACCATTATTACTCAATCAGGAAATACAAATTAAAGTCACAATACCACTATATATCATTAGAATAGCTTTAAAAAACAGTGCTGGTGAGCATATAGAGCAAAAAACAACCCTCATATATTGTTTGTGGGAATGCAAAATGGAACAGCCTATTTGGAAAGCAGTTTGGCAGTTTCTTATAAAGCTAAACATATACTTATTATATAATAATCCAGAAGTCCCACTACTAGATATTTACTCTTGAGAAATGAAGATATATGTCTATTAAGAAAAAAATAAACTTCTACACAAATATTTATAGCAGTTTTACTCCTAACCACCTAATACTGAAAACTCACATGTCCATCTACTGATGAATGGCTAAGCACATTGTCTTCTATCCATACAATGGAATGCTATCAGTAGTAAAACGGTATGAACTTTTGAAGTGCTGATAAATGCTACAACATGTATGAATCTAAACATATCAGGCTGAGTGAAATAAGTGAGACTCAAAATACATACTCTATGATTCCATTTATATGACATTCTGGAAAAGGCCAAACAAAAAAGACAGAAACCCTATCAGTGGTCGCCCTGGGCTAGAAATGAGGGAAGGGGATTGACTACAAAAGAGAACAAGGGAACTATTAGGGGAATAGAAATGTTCTTTATGGTGATTATGGTATTGGTTATGTGGATTCTGAGAAAGAAGATACCTAATAAGAAAGACTTTTCTAGTCCTGGCTGGTATGGCTCAGTGGATTGAGCACTGCCCTGCAAACCAAAAATGTCACTGGTTCAAGTCCCAGTCAGGGCACATGCCTGGGTTGTAGGCCAGATCCCTGGTTGTGGGATGTGTGAAAGGCAACTGATTGATCTCGTTCTCCCTCTCTTCCCCTCTCTGTAAAAATAAATAAATAAAATCTTTTTTAAAATGGGGGGTGGGTTGGCATGGGGGCCTACTGGTGGCTAACCTGACATTTTTTTTTTAAACAGCCAAGCAGGCATTTCTACACAGGGACCTCTAACGCAAACTGCACTTCAGGGAGATACCTGACCAAACTACCTGCCTCTGAACTGGCCTGCCTGCACTTTATTTGTGTCATGTGTCATCTGAGCCAACCCTTATAAAGGAGTTCCTGGAATCCTATTTCAACCAATAGGACTGAGGCTTTCCCCACCTAATCGGGGCTGTGCAGCTATAGTCTCCCATCAACATCTTCACCAACCAATCAGAGAAGCTCCATTCTGGCCAATCAGGAAAGTGCCTTTTTGGACCAATCAAACTGCAAGGATTTGTAGTCCTTGTTGGCATGAGGACAGCCCAATCAGGGGCTGGGGCAGGGACTTCTGTCTATATAAGCCAGCTCCTCAGAAGCTCTGTAAGTACACTTTCCCCTTTCCGCTAAAGAATGAACTGGGTTTCCTGGCTGAGCAGAAACACTGAAGATGTGCTGTGGGAGCAGAGAGCAGATCAGAACAGAGTGGAGCAGACCAGCGCTGACCAGCGCAAACCAGTAAAGACCACAGCACAGTCATGTTATCACATGCTTTATCACAGTTGAGCTGTTTTGCACTAAATAGTTTTCTTCTTCACCACATCCCAAACTGGGGACTCCTGTTGACTGATGAATTGGCAATTGGCACCAACAACCATTGGTTAACACTTGTATGATCAACGTATGTTGTCAAAAACCACAGAACTATACACATAAATAGGGAAAATTCTACTATATGTGAACTATACCTCAATCAACCTGACGTTTTAAAAACATCCAGTTCATGTGTATAACGTGTTTAATATAGTACTGGGCACTTAGTAAGCACTTCATAAACATTATCTGTTATTATCAGCATGCTTCATAGTAGAAGCAACTAGTATTAAATACTACAGATGACAAACTTTAAACTCCCACATAAATAAAATGTGACAACTTAAGACTTATGTACTGTGGGTTCTTTTATTTCTAAAATTTGATATATATCAAATCACTATATATACCTTAAGTTGGTATGGCTGGCATGGCTGCATTACAAAGCTGGCATGGCTGTATTGGGTAATTTTCATTATTTATATTTGAATTAGCTGAGAAAAATTAGGTGGATTGAATGAATTTATTAAATGCCCACTAAAGACACTATTTCTTTCTTTCTTGAAAACAGAACTTACAGAAAGAATTTACTGTGTCAGCCTGGACTGATTTCTTCCTATTTATTATTACTGCTTATCCTTGAACTCAAATTTGAAACTTTTAGTACATGAAAATATAGAGTAGTCTAATTTCCATATTTAAGGAACCTGGGCATAAAAAGGGCTTGGTGCCCTGGCTGGTGTAGCTCAGTGGATTGAGTGTGGGCTGTAAACCAAAGGGTGGTGGGTTTGAATCTCAGTCAGGGCACATGCCTGGGTTACAGACCAGGTCCCCAGTAGGGGGCACATGAGAGGCAACCACACACTGGTATCTCTCCCCTTCCCCTCTCTCTAAAAATAAATACCCGTATTTTTAGGATTATAAGACGTACCCCTCCTCAAATTTGGGAGGAATAATGGTTGTTAATGCTGCTGTTGAGTTCTGTTTACATTTACATTGGTAAAGTATT